AGTTCATTTAGCTCCTAAAAATTTGTAATAGTTTGTGGTTCGTGAACTGGGCACACTAGTTAGTGGTTCGTGACAAAGGGAGCTTTGATTCTCAAAAGCTTATACCCCCCCAAAAAAATCTTGTTGGCCTCTAAGACGCTACTGGACTCAAATTTAGCTCTTCTACTGTAAACCAACATGGCTACCCTCTGAAACGAGACTTAGGTTCTTATGAATTTTATGTAATCTATTTTATGTATTTATCTGTATTGTAAGCCACCTTGAGCTCCATAAGGAAGAAAGGTGGATGATGATGATGATGATGATGATGATGATGATGATGATGATGATGATGATGATGATGATGATGATGATGATGATTAATGAATCGGCCAATCCCTGCTGCTGCAGGGCCCTGGGTGATATACAACCAGGGGTCATTTCATAGAAAAAGAGGTGCAGGAGTTCATTAGCATAACTTATTTGCATATTCCACACCCCCTGACATCACCGGAAGTGTGTCAGAAGGCAACACCCACCGTTCAGGCTCCACTGGACTGTTTTGGATTGCTAGCTATTGTTTGTGGGTGGGGGGGGACGTGCAGATCTGTCCTTGCAGAGGAGGGAGAGCTTGTACCTGAATAAAACTTGGTCTTAAAGGTGCCACTGGACTGTTTTGGGCCGGGGGGGCTCTACAATTTACCTGGCTGCTTCTTGCTCTGACTGAGGGCTGCTGGGAGCAGGGGGTGGGGCTTATTGCATGTGCCCACCCCCTGGGCTCTTTACTACCGGAGCTCCGCTCCTGTGCGCTCCTGCAGGAAATGACCCCTGTATACAACATATAATAAAAACATTAAAACCATAAAACAGATACATAAATAATACTGATACAGCAATCTAAAATGATCAAGTGGCGAGAACCGCAATTTCTTTCCAGTTCTGGACTGCGACCACCTTGTGGGCATGGGGAGGGGGAGTAAAGCAGTCCGATGGGGAGGACACTAGAAGGCGTAAGAGGAGGGTCCAAGCCAGGATGGAAACTGCCGCTGTCCTCAACCAAAAGCCTGGTGGGACATCTCTGCTTTACGGGCCCTGCGGAACTGCATAAAGTCACACAGGGCCCTGATTGATATTTGGCAACGGGTTCCACCAGTTTGGGGCCGGGACTGAGAAGGCCCTGGCCCTGGTCGAGGACAGCCAATGTCTTTGGGGCCGGGGATCACCAGCAAATTGCTATCCAAGGAGTGTAACACTCTCCCGGGAACATACCAAAGGAGATGGTCCTGCAGAGACATCTGTCCCTGACCTCTCAAGGCCTTAAAAGTCAACACCAAAACCTTGAACTTGACTCGATACTCCACAGGAAGCCAGTGCAGCTGGCATAGCACAGGTTGTATATGTGCCATCCGTGATGTTCCCGTCAGGACTCGCGCCACTGCATTCTGGATCAGCTAGAGCTTCCAGGTCAGTCTCAAGGGCAGGCCAGCGTAGAGCGAGTTACAGTAGTTTACTGAGTGTTTAAAATAAATACATAAACTACAGTTCCCAGGTGGCAGTGTGAAAATGGGCACAGTATTTCTGACCCAATTTAGAACAGTTGGCAAACATTCTCAGCTTCCAGAAGACAGTCAAAACTGGCAAGCTTGGAATACCGTAGAAACGAGCCATGTGGTTTCCTTCTTCTGAGCAGGATGGAGACAGCCAAGGAAAGCAGCTCTTTGGAAAGCAATATTTTTTAAAAAAATGTTGGGTGGATTATGCAAATAACAGATGTGGGAGGAGGGGTAGGAGTAGAAATGCAGTGTGAGAGACCATTGGTATAAGGACGTTTTTCGAGGAAGTTTACAACAATGCTGCGTTCTCGGTGAAAAAAGCGAACATTTGTTCAAGCGTTTGAGAACGCAGCTTGCAAGCCAGGTGTGACTAAGGTTGCCAGCTTTCAGGTGGAGGCTGGGGATCTCCCTGAATGACAAGCGACGGAGATCAGTTCCCCTGGGTAAAAGGGCTGCTTTGGATGACTCAAGGTCACACCAGCAGCTGTATGTGGAGGAGTGGGGAATCAAATCTGGTTCTCCCAGATTAGACTCTCCTAAGTACTACACCAAACTGGCTCCAACTATTCTTCTGACATACTTATGAATGAGTGAGGCAGCCCCAAACACCTTATATACATCTGATATATCACTAGAACGAATCAGGAATAAGATCCTTGAAATCTTTCACCAATCAGGACTTGGGTTCTCTGCTTTGGTGTGGCTTTGAGGATATCATTGGCCGGCCAGCATTGTTTCCCCCCCCCCCACCAAATAACACAGAACTAGCTTTGTAGGGAACTAGCTTCAAATCCCACCTCTCCTGGAATAAACTTGATCTAAATTAGTCCGCTCAGGGGCGGAGATGCCACTTTTTTCATTAGCAGGCCTCCTATGCCTTTAACAGTTGGGGGACAGACAGAAATCTAACAGGTCAAACCTTTCCTCTTTGGGCCCTTACATGCTGGGAAAACTTCATCTGCAGAATTCCTGCTTGCCGGTCAGCTGTTTAGGCACAGGAGCCCTGGGGAGGAGGGCAATTGGCAACCCACTCTGAGGATGTACAGATTATTTCCGGAGTTGCTCGTACATTTACATGGGCTAGGATCGGACAGTTCAGTCAACTATCCGCGACTGGCATTAAAGTTGTGAGCGAGCGATTTGGCTGCTGCATAAATTAGTTTGTTCTGGAGCCACCCTTCCTGAGCTGAGACAAAAAATGTGTGAGCTGGAGGCTAAAAAACTGTGAGCTAGCTCACACTAACTCAGCTTAGAGGGAACACTGCTGACCAGTGGTCCATCTCGTCCAGCACCATGTCTCACACAGTGACCAACCAGTTCCTCTGGAGGGCCAACAACAGGGCATAGAGGCTGAGGCCTTCCCCTGATGTTGCCTCCTGGCTCTGGGATTCAGAGGCTTAAGTGTCTCTAAACGTGGAGGTTCCCCTCAGTCGCCATGGCTAGTAGCCACTGATAGACATCCTCCATGAATCTATCTTCCCTTTCCTTTGGACTCAGGGGCAGATATAAGAAACACGTCTGAGGAACAGGGTTGCCAGCTCTGGGTTAGGGAATACCTGGAGATTTTGGGGACGGAGCCTGAGAAGGAACCTCAGCAGGGTATAATACCTTAGAATCTACCCTTCAAAGCAGCCATTTTCTCCCCCCCTGTCTTTGCCACCAGAACCTCTCTTGCCACTTCCCCTGGCTGTTCCTAGGGACCAGACTTTTTAAGGAACTGATGGCATGATCTTGGAATCCTACTTGTGGGCACAACCTACCATTGCAACACTTCTCACTCGACGTTTGCTTGTTTGTTTTCATTTCCCACTTGGATCTCCCTTTGATCGCTGTCTCCTAGATGTTTAACGGACCGGCCGTCTCCTTGTGCAGTGGGAGGCTCAGGTGTGAGAAGCTCGGAGGAGGAGAAGCTGCCGAGAACACAAGAGGGAGGCACCGTCGCTGCACCTGCAAGTGACAGAGGGAATGTGGTTTGCCTTTTGATCTGATAAGCAGCCCCCTTGCAGGTGTGTGTGTGCGGGGTGGGAGTGCCACACAGGACTGGGGGTTTTGCTTTACACTTTCTCCTCCGTGTGATGGCTTCCGGCTTCAGCGCTTTCCTTTAACCCTTAGGTCACCAAGAAGGCCAGGATGTAGCTTGCTTGCTACACCTTTGGAACTAAGCGTATGAGAAGATCCCTGCTGGGTCCATTTCAGTGCAGCCTTCCGTTTCTGCCACACTTTCCAGGAGATGCCCATCAGCGAGGACTTCCTCCATGGGTTGCTCCCAGCTTCTGGTACTCAGGGGTAGACTGCCCTTGAAAATGGAGGCTCTGTGTTGTTTTTCTTCTTGCTGTGCTCCAGTGCCTTTAACAACTGGCTGACACTCAACCAAATTACTTTGTGCTGGGGTCCGTGATCGTAGAACCACAAAATCATAGAACTGGAAGGGATCTTCAGGGTCATCTAATCCAGCCCCCTTCACAATGCAGGAAATTCAGAAATACCTCCCCTCCCACACACATCTATGCCCAGAAGATGACAAAAAACCCTCCAGGATCCCTGTCCAAACTGGCCTGGAGGAAAATGCTTCCAGACCCCAAAGTGATGATCGGCATTTCCCTGGGCGGACTAAGAAAGGGCCACAAGAACGAAGCACTGAGGCAACCAGTATTTCCTCTAAGCTGAGTTAGTGTGAGCTAGCTCACAGTTTTTTCGCCTCCAGCTCACACATTTTTGCCTTAGCCCAGGAAGGATGGCTCCAGAGCAAACTAATTGATGCAGTAGCCAGATCACTCGCTTGCAACTTTAATGCCAGTAGCTCACAAAATAGAATTTTTGCTCACAAGGCTCCACAGCTTAGAGGGAGTATTGGATGCAACCTCCCTCTCGTGATCTGCCTAAGTTCACAGAACCAGCATTGCTGCCAGATGGTCATCTAGCCTCTGCTTAAAAACCTCCAAATAAGGAGAGCCCACCACCTCAATGAAGCCTGTTCCACTGAGGAACCACTGTCACATGAACACATGGAGCTGCCTTAGACCATTGGTCCACCAAGGTCAGTTATGGCTATTCAGAGTGACAGCGGCTCTCCAACACGTTAGAAAGAGGTCTTTCATATCACCTACTACTAAGGTTGCCAGGTCCCCACTCCTGTCTACCAGCAGGGGATAGGAGCTAGGGTTACCAACTCCAGGTTGGAAAAAACTGCTGGAGATTTGGGGGTGGAACTTGGGGAGGACAGGGACCTTGGTGGGGTACAATGTCATGACGTCCACCCTCCAAAGCATCCATTTTCTCCAGGAGAATTGATTTCTGTAGTTATGAGATGAACTGTCATTCCAGGGGTTCCCCAGGTCCCACCCGGAGGCTGGCATCCCTATCTACTACTTGATGTTTTAAACTAAACTGCCTTGTATTTGGTCAGCATTGCCTCCTCTGACTGGAAGCTGTTCTACGTGGTGTCAGGCAGAGATATTTCCCATCAAGTGGAGATGCCGGGGATTGAACCTAGGACCTTCTGCATTCCAAACAGATGCTCTACCACTGAGCCACAGCCCCCTCCCCTCCTGATGTGTACTATAATATTAAAAAGCACCATAGGAGCAGAGGAGATGAGGACTGGGGCTATGTTAAATCTGGTGGTGGAGAGTGCCGTCAAGTCACAGCTGATTTATGGTGACCCCCCCCCCTTAGGGTTTTCAAGGTAAGAGATGTTTAGAGGTGGTTTGCCATTGCCTGCCTCTGCATCACAACCCTGGTGTTTTTTGGGGGAGGTCTCCCATCCAAATACTAGCCAGGGTCGACTCCAGGGGTCATTTCCTGCAGGAGCGCGCAGGAGCGGAGCTCCGGCAGTAAAGAGCCCAGGGGGCGGGCACATGCAACAAGCCCCACCCCCTGCTCCCAGCAGCCCTCAGTCAGAGCAAGAAGCAGCCAGGTAAGTTGCAGAGCCCTCCCCCTAACCCCCCTGGCCAAAACAGTCCAGTGGCACCTTTAAATCTTCTTACAACAATGTAAGTTAAAAAGGAAGAAGGAGCAGACAAAAAGTTTCAGAAAAAATATGACAGGTGTAAAGTGTCATCTGATGAAACCTTGAGTGAAACCGTCTATTGAGCACTGTACCGTCAGCAAGACTTGAGACTAATTTACTTCAAAGGATACAACTTTAATGAATTGGTTTTCACTGAATAATTAAAGAAGATGTATTTTTCTCTAAACACGACTTTATCTTATCATGGCTGTTTTCCTTATGAAGTTCTACCACCTGGGGGGTGGCAACCAATGCCCCCTCTACGCTGTGGAATCTTGTGAGCAGAAGTTCTACTTTGTGCGCTCCTGGCATTAAAGTTGTGAGCCATTGATTTGGCTACTACATTAAATTAGTTCGCTCTGGAGCCGTCCTTCCTGAGCTAAGACAAAAATGTGTGAGCCAGGGAATAAAAAACTGAGCTAGCTCACACTAACTCAACACTGGCTGGCAACCTTATATGATCAAACTGAGAAATATTTGGTTGAGTTCAGTGTGGAAGAGGAGGAGGAGCCAGGGAAACACCAGCCAACAAGCGATGTTCATGCTTGGCGTTGACCAGACCTGTGCGTGTGTCTCCTAAAATCAGAATGCTGCCACACAGAGACAGAGCCTGTTTCTGGCCTGTTTCTTCCAGAGGAACTAAAAATTCTAGAAGCCTGTTTTTTTGCCCTTGTGTTAAGTCGCTAGCTTAACAAAACAGTCGGAGAGTGATTCAGCAAGAACAGAGCTTTATTCTTCAACTCAAACACAACTCCAATACAGATCAACATCTGATAGCCAGAACAGCCTTTACATTGCAGCTGTCCTGCTTTTAAACATTCCCAGCTAATGTAGCCACACCCACTGTGCAAATACCAACCAATAACATTGTTCACATAAGGACCAATCACGGATGTTCCCGCTCAGGGAGCTTGCTAGAAGGTGATTGGTTAGGTGCTTCCTGGGCTAATAACAGGATTGGATGGATTTGGATCCTAGCCCAGGACGAAGCTTTACACTGCATTCCAATTAGATGTTTCACAACATATCATGCATTCAAGGCAGCTTTGAATACACTACACCTTGGAAAATACCAGCAAACGGTGCGATAATCCCCCCCCCCCTTCAAATTCAGGCCTGGAGGATGGCTGTGATTTAGCGAGGGGGTGGAGAAGGTTAGGCGGTTGAATCCAAGCTGCCTCCCCCCCTGCTGCCTTTCTTATTTCTCTCGCTAAGGGCCACCCCCTGCCTTCAGTCTGGAGGGGCTTTCACACACCCCCTCCCAAACCCCTGAGCAAAATCCTCATAAAGCCTCCTCAGCTAAAGCATCTGTGGATTCTCGTCTATTGCCTGAAGGCTGCTGGGCCTTCCCTGTGGGGTGCGCCTCGTCCCTCCCCTTCAGCAGCTGTTACTCATTTCTGTCCTTCCCCCCATAGAGTCTTCCTGTTTTGTTGGAATATTTGAATCTCCCCTCGAGGGGGTTGGGGGCAGGAAAGGGGAGCAAACAGCTGCACGGGCTTCTCCCAGGCTTCCCTCCCCCCTCCCCCTCATGCCCCCTTTTTTGTTATTTGAAGCGGCTATATATAGCTCCAGGCAGGCCCGAAGCCTGGATCTCACTGGGGTTAATAGTCTGAAATGGAGATCAGCTGTCACTGCTGCCTCCAACAGTCAGCCAGGCTGTGACTTGGCAGCGGGGGTGGTGGTGGTGGGGGCATGCCAGGCGAGTGCCTTCTTGTGCCCCAGCCTCTGTCAGACTGCTTGGCAGGGAAATTTCCAGATTTGTTCCCCCCCCCCCCCGAGAAAGAAATAAACAGGGGTTATAACCAATGCTCCCTCTAAGCCGTGGAGTCTTGTGAGCAAAAATTCCACTTTGTGAGCTGCTGGCATTAAAGCTGTGAGCGAGCGACTTGGCTACTGCATAAGTTAGTTTGCCCCGGAGCCATCCTTCCTGAGCTGAGACAAAAACCTGTGAGCTAGAGGCTAAAAAACTGTGAGCTCGCTCACACTAACTCAGCTTAGAGGGAACACTAGTTATAACATTGGCTGGAAATATTTCAGATATGACAGGGGTGGGAAGTTGCTGTGCTTTCCTCAGTACGAGTTCCTGTACCTTTAGGGCTACACAGTCCTTTATCCACTTCTTTGAGAATAAGTCCCATCAGATCCCACAGGTTCACGCGTTGGGCCACGGGCCAAACTACATGGAA